CACGACATCGGTGCTAAAAATAAAATTAAATGAAGTTTAAAAACACCTCTTCTTTCCCCAGCACTGCGTGGTCTTTCTCATGGGAGGAAAAGAACATGGATTACTCCCACTGTTCAACTCAAGTGGGAATGCAAAGCAAAATTCATCATCAAGACCAGACCATCAGAATCTCAGAGCAGCCCTCCCTCTGTCTTCATACTGTGTCTTACATGCCGTCAAAAAGGGACAACACCTTTCAGTTAGAGGTGTCTTCAACCAAGAACTTGACTCACCAAAGATCTCAATAAATGTATCCTAACTGACTTAAGAATTTCAGGCTGCAATCCGCAACTCAAGCGAATCGTTTTTGTAGATGTCTTTTGGTTAAACATTAAAATCAGGTAATATCACCACCCCACTGATACTAGACTCATCTCCCTTTGGGTCAGGGGAGGAAGTTTAGCAAACAGGAGGACATGGAGTGTCTGCAATGTAAAGTGAGGTCATCCTCTCTCGGGGAAAAAGGAAAAGAAAAAAACACCAAAAAAGACAAGGGCATCTTGAGCTAAGGAAATCAAGCTTAGACTTCATGACGTTGCTAAGAGTAAACTCTATTCATCGCCAGCTTGGCAGGAACCATAAAGCATGTGCACAGAGGTGCTTTTTGTCTCACAGCTGCAAACCCAGGCAAGAAGGTTTCAAATGATTCAGGAAGTTTTTATTTTAGTCTTCAATATGTCTGACTTCAGATAAAGGAGCTATGCTCCTAAGAATCTGGAAATGGAGCTACGGCTTAGATACCTGAAGATGGGGCAAGCAAACAGTATTGAAAATTATTAAGGAAGTCTTGCTGGTGGCTCTAGAAATCCTGAGAATGAGAGAGACACACATGCAACTGAATGATGTTTAAATGACACAGCCGACACCTACACTCCAGTCCAGAGTCGCTCTGGGCTCCTTCGCTGGACCGTTTGCCACAGGAAGGCTGAGGGGATGTGCAGGAGCCAGGTGCTGCAGGCCTGCCCGGGAGATTGCTTTCCTGCAGCAAGAAGAAAAAACACAAAGAAAAACCAACATCAGAAGGTAATCCAGAGCTAAAAACTTCCCGTGGGCTAGAAACGATTCCTGAGTTGGTCTTGCACATGTGAAAACCTTTGTAAAGGTCCTGGAATCTATCTTTAAAGTGCTTGGTGAAGACAGAGGGTGGCAGGTCTCAAAGGGCAGGGAGAATGAGAGGGCCACCTTGGGGCAGTATCGCTTCAGGACTAGAAACTAAAATGCCAGCCCCTATTCAGGGTAGAGGGCAGAATGCAGGTCTCTGTGTTTACACAAACAGACCCAACACTGGGCTGATCACAATTCTTGGACAATTTTAAAGCTGCCAGAAATTAAAAGCAAAAAAAGTAGACTCATGAGATCTTCCACTGAATTCTTCCTTTTCCCAGCAAAGAGCTCGCCAAGCTGGTTACTGCCCCGAGTTCACTCTTGCATCTCTCAAGAACATCCTCCCTGACCCTTGCAGAGGACTTCTACAGATGGCTTGAGATTCTAAGTGAGAAAAAAATGATTTGTATCTGCCAAGAAATTGCACATACTGAAAGACCAATACCTTACCAAGGTTCATGGTAAGAAAAATCCCAAACACGTTAGTTGGATTTTAGGTTTGTTGAGTGGAACATAATAGAATTCAGGTTAGAAAGGAGGGAATGAATCAGGAGAGGTGGAGAAAGTCACGCCTGATCTTGGTCTGCAAAGATAAGGAGTTGCTTCAGCAAGCAAAAGTGACCACTGCTGAGCAAAGAGAAAGGAGGAGAGGTAAGAGCGGAGTGCAGAGAATGAGGACAGCAAGATGAAGGAAGAAAGCTGGGATCACCCACGGAGAGCTTGTGGTATCATCATGAATAATAGAAGGTCAATTTCTGAACTTCAAAATCAGAAATGTCAGACGACGGTCTCGAGTTTAAATATGACTGCTGACTTGTGGATTAATGAAGTGGCTCCCTGGAAGGGAGAGAAGCTCTCCTCCCAAGGGTGTCCACGTGCGTTCTGGGAATCACCTGAGCTAGAATCGGGGCTGGGGTGGGGGTGGTCTTGTGATGCCGCAGCTCTGAGTCCTGAGTGGGTCTGAGGGTGAGGTCCAGGAATCTGCGCTTACCCACGGTCCCCGGGTGCTTCCTTCTGTCACTAGAGTTTGCACAGTGCTCTATGAGCAGGTAAGAGGGTTTTAATCTTAAATGGAACCAGAGAATATGAAATGGAGAATCTCATGCATATGCCCTTCAGAAAACAAAACTTAAGAACTAAGAGACTAATTTCCAGTAAATGATTCATTTACAGGAGACGGAAATGTATCACTTAGCCAATGAACATCCACCAAGAATCTCTGTCCATCCTCAAGCCAATGAACCTGCGGCTTGGGTTCTGGCTGGACTCTCCCCTCTTTGCTCCCCTTGCCCATAAGAACAGCGTGCTCCAAACCAGCAACAGACTCGCCCTGTAGCTTCCAATGTTTGTGCATTCCACATTGCAATTCCTCTGCCATTCCCAAATAAACTCAATTTCTAATCATTTAAGCTTGCCTCTGTTTACCTCTTTATTGAGGTTGACACAGCAAGTATGTTCGGGCAGGTGGGGGGGCACTAACTCCACCAGGCCCATCACAGGGGAGCCCGAGGGGAAGCATCAGCCACTTCGGTAACGCACTTTACCCCCATTAGCTCTCTGCAGCCTGTCTCACAGGATGTGACATTGCAATAAGAATCTGCCATCTCTGGCTCTGGACCCGCAGACGCACCCAGTCCCCAGGAGAGGCCCAGATCCTCATATGAGGAACAAGGCTACATACAGACAATAAGACAGGAAGAGGAAGACAGTGATGGTCAAATATATGATGAATCCCCTTATAACCAAGCAGAATCCAAAAGCTTTGTTGGATTTTAGAAGGCAGATGATCTCCTTGTACTGTTCACTGATCTCTGCAACAGACATGGAATTTGTAAAGTGGAGTAGGATGAACAGCAGTCCCAAAACCCAAGAAAAGACTGGGTAGAATCCAGAAAAGAATCTAGGATTGTGCAGCCAATAATCAAGGACCAAATATGTCTGAGAGCTCTCACGCGCGCTCTCTCGCTCTCGCTCTCTCTCTCGCTCTCTCTCATATTCCTACACAGGAAGTCCCAGACACAGTGGACAGATCTTTGGTAGTTGGACGTGATCATATGAAGCTTGCTGGCAGCCTACTTTCAGGAGTTCCTACTGGGCAGCAGGCAATGTACTTGCTTTATATAACCCCCCAAAGAGTCATTACAAGTATGCAGGCCTTTAATGACGACAGTCTGATGACACAGTATTCTTTTCTTCCTCACTTTCATCACTGCAAACAATGAAAACATCAATTTTGGCCCCTTCCTCCAAAGTATATTCCATTTCGTTGAGCCACAAGAAAAGAATTCTGTGAGATTCTTAAATGGTGAGCCTTCACCACCCCCCCCCAGGCATTTTTCTTCCACCTGAGTTCAAAGAACTTCTTTAGCGTTTTTCATTAGGACTTTTCTCTGGCTTTGAAGGACCCTGAAATGGTGATTCTGAGTCATAGTTTTTACCACAAGGAAGTCAGATCTCTGTAGGGTCAGAATCTACAGGTTCAACCTTTGATTTCTTAGCAGTCACCACAACCTAAATGTAAGTGTTTCAGCAAAAAAAGCCCCACTAAACGGTACCTACGCACAAAGCCTTAGAACACCCGAAGAACTCCTAAATCTTAAGTAAATGAGAAAAATATAAATCCTTCATTTTTTTTTCATGAACAGCCATAGAGAGTTGTGATCAGAAAAAAAAAAGAGAAAGCAGAAGATAGGAAATAAAATTCTATTTTCAACAGTAGAAACCACAGGACAAATGCATTTAACTCATCAGAAGTTGGAGACTGACCACCAAAACCCAATTACTCTTCCTAAAGAGGACTGCCAGGAGGAGGGGGGGGGCAAATTGCTCAAATAATCAATTTAGGCTGCAAGGGATGTCTGTCTCTGGAAGTGCACTGTGGCTGTAAAACAGGAGACATACAAACATTTATTCCCAGCTTAGCCCTGCAATGAAACTACAGTCAAATCACACTCTTTCCCAGCCTGTGAATAAAAAAGGATTAAGTAAGGGCTTTCGTTGATTATTTATTCCTCATTGGGGATGCAAATTTAAGGCTGGTTTTCAGTAACATTAATAGAAGAAAATTGCATATCTACTACACAAACAAACATTAATTTGGGGGAAAATAAGTAAGAAACATCAAAGTGGCTGCCAGTGTATGACTGTGAAAGGGCCTCACAAAAGGACATTAGATAAGAAAGAGAATAGGAAAAATGTATAGAGGTACTACGCGGGGTGGTGGGCTGGTGGGAGGTAACTTCTGATTATAGCTCTCCATTCTTCTAAATAACCATGGGAGAAAACTCTCTTTCCCAACAGTTCATATATGTATACACATTTTGTTCCAAAATAAGAAGGCAATTTCATTATTTCTCAGACCTCAAATAAAATCAGTGTAAGTTATTTTTCTATTTGGAGTCATCCTGGTTGTAAAAGATGACATTTGAGAGTCTGGTAGAATCTGATGTGTGTTGGGGGGTTTTATGTTGCAATTTGCTCCAATCAAAAATCAATGGGGTTGCCATTTCTCATTCTTTCCTCCTGCTCAGGATCCTCCTGAGCCCACAGTCAGTAAAGCTGTGAAATGCCAATGATTCTATTAATTTTACAACAACATTTTGTCAGGGATGACTATAATGGCAAAAAAAAAAAAGCACTGAAAAAGAGAAGTGTTGTATTAACTGTGAAATAGATATGAAAAGAAAGCATTTCATAATGCAGTTTCAGGCACATAAAGTCACAGTTAATGTTAATTACCTGCCATGAAAGACCTTTAACATATTTAAAGTACACAAGCCATCATACATTTTAAATAGCCTTCTATTATTTGCTTCACTTCATTCAATAAGACTATAAACTCCTAAAGGACAGGGTTCAATTCATCTCCTAATCTTATTACATTCTAGCCCAGGGCTGGACACAAGCACATACTCAATAAATGCTTTCTGAATTAATGAATGAACTTGACCAAGAAGCTAAGCAAAGCAGCTTGCTGATTAGATCAAGGGTTGAGAAATCTGATTAGGATGATTTGAATTATACCCCAGGCCTTGCGTTTCAGTGATACTCTTTCCTGAGAGGGCCAGAAATCCCTCAAAGCAGCTCTTTACAGATAAAGGCAAATAGAGGCAGAATCCAGCGTTAAGAAGCCTAAAAGACATCAGAACAGCTTTGTGACCAACATGAAAATGGAATCCCACTGCTACATTTGTAAAGGGCATATGATAGTGTTAATATCTTTGTAATGTATTTATTGAAAGAAATGTGCAGCACGTATTCTTCATAAAGAGAATTTTTTTTAATTTATGCAAAGACATATAAGTAAGTGGTTATTTAGCCAGGATACTCTCATCATCCATCTTGCAAATTTCTCTCAATTCAGTCTGGCTCTACCCTTACTCCAGGTTTGTGTGGCTCCTGGAATCAACCCATCCCCATCTTGCCAACTCCCTGTCCAAATGATGCTACCTACCTGTGAGAATAGAACAAGGCGTCTACCTGCTGGGAAGAGACACTCCAGAGATTCAGGAGGTCCCCTTAGCCAGGAGGTCTCCTACGACCAGCAACATATGAGAGATTGCTGGACTCATCTTGTTCTGGAAAACAGAATCAGCTGCCTGAAAAGTTACTCTGTACCTTGGTTTAACTCCCCAAGTGCCGCCAGCAAGATCTTAATTACGGTGCACCTTGGTGTTTTTCTCCCTAGAAAATTGACACTAACTCTGCCTATATTCAAAGCAGCCTTTAGTGCTTCTTGGCTGATCCAGACAAGCTGCCTGCAAAGGGTAATACACCCAGTAAAAACTTGTCTCAAGCCCCGCACGAATTCCAAACATCTCACCAGATTTATGTAGGCAAACAAACCTTGTGTAATTATTTGAGCCTAAATCTTAA